TTACTATGGATTTCAGATTGTTATATTTTATGTTCTATAGTCCATACATGCATATATTAAATGAAAACATTACTTGGATATCAACACATTATTCACAAATTTTACATCATTGTTATTAAAATTCAGAGATTTTAACCTTTAAAATCTCAGAAAAGTTGTAAAGTTTCATAGTAAATCAAAAAATAAAAGTATTTACCATAGTTAAATGTAGTTAACTATAATAGTAACTATAGTTAACTATCGTACAATTTTGTTAGGGAAGACTCAATAATGTTTGGAGATCTGATAATAAATACTTATACAAATACAAATACGTTTACTTAGAAAATTCACATTTCTGTGGAAAGTTTCCTAAAGAGATCATTGTTTCTGTTTTTCTTTCATCTCTCACTATTAAAAATAGATAAGGTAAAGGGTATCGATTTTTTTTCAAAATTTCGAAACCTTTTCGTCTTTTAATTCTAAGATAAAATATACAGCATGGATGCCAAAGATAAAAAAAAGTACTAAAACAGGTTTTTAAATCTTGTAAAATATTCATAAAGTCAATTGATAGTATATTATAGATTCTTATAATCTCATCGACTCTTTCTTGTTTTAAATTAAACATGTCTAGAAATTGTTGTTAACATTCATGTACACGCAAAATCAGGAATTTACTGTTTGATTATTCTGTGAAAATAAAAAAGGTGAATATAACAAACAATGATCAACCTAAAAAAAAATTCTCTAAACACTACAAACCTGTGAACAGGGCATAAACAGGACCCACGAATTTACAGAGATGGGATCAGGTGCCTAGGAAGAGTTAACATTCCCTGCTGATTAGTCAGCCGGGCCGTGAACCCTTTGTATTGATCAGGTAGACAGAACATTCCCTAGTCGACTTCAGTATAAAAAAAAATGGCCAAACAATTGGTAAGAAACATGTCAGCAAAATATGACACAATGATCGGTTATACTTGCAAACAACGTCCTTAAAGCGACCATAGAACTTAAAAATTGCTCACTTCAAACAAGGTTGTTTAAATCCTTGTAACATCAATTTATCTGTCAGTAGCCTGCCTCGGTTTAAAAATTGATCGTACTCATAGCATGTTCTTGAGTTTTATAAGTTGGGAGACAAATTGGTGATGGCGAAATATTAAAACATAAATAAGGGAAGTTGACGATGGAAAACCTGAAATCATCTCGTTTATCATTAAATATAGTCTGTAAGTTGGCCCTTATTGTCTATAGTCAGTAAAAAAAATCCAGATATGAAACAGAGATGTGGCAGACTCTGTGGTGTCTTTTATTTTGGTGTTTTTTTTATTATGTTTACTTGGATATATGACATATGAATGGCAGTAACTATTGTTAATTGATAATACGTCGTCGGTATATATAAATGTCGAATTGAAGGTATCAGCAAGAGTTTTCGTCTTATTTAGAAGTTTCTAAATAAATTGTGCTTCATAAGAATATAAAAAGAGGTCGGCTAAGGAGCACAATTAGTGCCCATCGGATTTTCAACAGTTTGTTGGAAAACCTGGTCTCCAAAAACTACATAAATATTGTCAGTGAGAAACTCCAGCATACTCTTAATATTAACTTAAAGTACTTTGGTGTAGACTGTGATTTTTAACGATGTAATTCTATTGATGACCAATCACAACATACAAATTGTCAAAAATTATACTTAAGACGCAATGATATCAAAAAGCCTAGTTTTTCATTTATCGTGATGAATGGTTGTATAAATGTAGAAAAGTCGTACGTGTTGATGCTACTGATTTTTGGCAATTTTAAATTTTCTAAAAGTTCTTTAAGTCTTTGAGAATCCACATCTGATTTAAACCACTTCTATAATTTGCTGTAGCAAAGTAAATCTGACATTTCTCCTTAATAGCAGTTAATATTTTGGTATTGAGTGGAGATAGGGAAGAATATTTGCTGGGCCCCGGAATGTATCTTTGTGTGTAAGAATTCTTTTTAAGTTTAGGAATCCAGGATAGGTTGGGTAGATCGAACTCGGTTGACTGGAATGTTAAAAGCATTAAACAAGAATGACAATGATTTTTTTAGTCACCTACCATAGTGCTTCCATTCGCTGGAACGGTTTTCTGAACAAAGTGCGCAGTAGGTTATGGTACAATCCCAATGACAAAACTTTGTTGACGGAACATAAAAGAAGGTCACACTTTTACTTTCCTTAGAAAGACTTGCACATTGTAACAGGCTTTCTACTTGTAGACTTTTACAATCTTTGTAGTTGTATTGCACAGATGTTTCTTTCTTGATAAACCACGGAACTGTCACAGATATGAATAGAGTATAAATGATATGCAATACACTCTGTAGAGTTATCATCTTCAATTTCAAGTGTATATTTTCAAAATACAATGTACATGAATTTCTGGTAAGGAAAAGTTTCTACACAACGATATCACTTTCTAATTTGATCACACTTCTATTTCTTTTGATCGATGCATTACAAATGCCAACATTGACTAAAAAGAGTTGCTAAATAATAAAACTAAAATTGATTTTAAAACTCCAAATAGCATGTTAGAAAGATGAAATTCTATACATTGATTGCATTAACATGATCTTTGTCTGATAAAATCTTTATTATATTTGCATACATTATCTAGATTATTATCAATATTATATTTCATTACTACTATAAATTGCTTATTGTCATTAATAATTATGCATAAATAATTTCGGAGCGAGTGAATTACCTTCATCCTCATCCTTAAATAAATCATTTTAAAGTCGTTATTCATATATTTTGCGAGATCTTCTCTTTGATCTCTTTGAAGGGACTGGGACACAGATTTGAAGTTAATACTTTCTAAAATTTTAACTATAATGTCTTGACCTATATGTTGCTAGAGCATTTCTCGCCGAAATATAATAAAAGCGTATTTGGAAACTTCTTTTATCTAGAGATTTTTAAAACTTTGAATTTCTGGACGCTTTTGATTAATACATATCCTGGCACTTTATCGAAGTAACTTAAAGCTTCATCCTTAATACTTAAGAAAAGTAGAAATCTTGTTGTATTAATGCAAAATATAAAATCTATTATCCAGAAAATTCAGAGTAGAAATTTTAGAAAGCAAATCCAAGTCACCAGTATTGTCAGTCCGTGCTCAGTGATGTGTGCAGAGTAAACAAACTGAATACACCCGTTAAAACGTAAACATTAATAATAACAGAGCTCGTGCCCTGTTTACAAACACAGATGTTTGACGTGATATAAAGAAGAATGTCATTGTCATTGTATTCCAAGAATATTCATGTAAGTTCAATTCATTAAACTGAATTTATTTTTTGAATAAACGTAGAAATTTAAAGTGTAAACAATGCAACTGTGTCCAGGCCCCTTTAAGTTCAAACCCCAACATTGATGGAATCAGCAGAGATTATGAATTTTAGTGATGAACTGATTTGAATTGTTATTTTTGAGTTTTCTCGGGAATTAATGCCTTTACATTGATAAAAGATTTGGAGTCGTTATGTTATTTTGTGTATATAACTACGTTATATGTTATTATGTAAAACAGCCACTGCTATTAATCCTATCTATACAGATATTGATAAAGTGAGAGCCACGTGGAATCAACTATTTCAAGGGTGGCTGTAAGGAAGTCAACTAGAACACTAACGACAACTAAAACTACTACCATTATAATATCTACATTATTTCGCTTCTATATTTAAGGTTTTTAGTTAAATTCTGTAGAATATCAAGACAATCTTGCTTTAATGCTTCAGAGATGCGGAGGGGAGAAAATTTTTACGTCAATGGCCTTGAACATCGACTCATATACTTACATGTATATAAGATCAAGTCGATTATAAAACTATAAAAAGGGGGCACTATTCACTTCGCCTTTCTTGCTCGGAAAATTTTGTTCTGCAATATCTAAATGGTCACAGTAAACAAATAAAACGTATTGAATATCACATTTATGCTGTCAGATATACCCTATTAATTAGAGTTAACATGATACCAGACATGTTTTGTCTATTGCAACATCAAACCAGTGAAATCTATACCATGAAATTTAAGGTGGATTCGATTTTATACTATAATTGCATAAAGAATTTGTTTTTCTTTTTTTTTTTTTTGACTCTGAGAATTTTTTCTGTCCTTCACATCTTCTCTATTAATGATTGCTGGTGAATATAAGGTTCTATCTCCAGTAGGATTTTACAATATAACATCCTCTGATGTCAACTAAAATTCGAAAACTTTACCAATTTCCATCCAGAGTTTTCATTATTTGTCGTCTAAATCTTTTGTTAAATTCTCTATTATAAAACTGGTAAATGAATAAGGAATTACTAATCCTCATATATAGCTTTACCATTTCCTATTTCTTACTAACTAACCATAACATTAATAATGCTAGACTAATTAAACAATCTTCTAGCTGTTTAAATGTCTTCCTTTGTTTTATTGATGCCTGGACTAATTTAGAGATAACAGAGGAGCACATGCGTGACAAAGGAACGACAACTTATAGAAATTGGGTTTATACGACGTAAATTTGAATTTTCTAGGTACAGGTAAATGCAAAGCAACTAGTAAATTCAAATTTTACAAAAAGATAACTACAAAATCCGCTGGTTACAAATTCACTGCCACTTGACTGTATACAAGAACGTTGATTTGATTTGAATGATTTGCTAGTTTACTCCACTCATATCGATTCATCATAAGTAACATGAAAATGACATTCTAAGATGTGCATTATAAGCAGTATACTATTGCCTATGTACCGAGTGGGCAATCATCTAAACAAATCTCGACCAAACGATCTATGGCATTCATCTATCACTGATTTGTAAGCTTGCTTAATTCAGAGAATGTAAAGAAAAAAGATGAATAAAAATATGGACGTCTTATCTAGAGCCTGGTAAATAAGCAAAGACAACTAAAACAAGCATTGCATATGATTTAATTTCTAATTATTTATACTTTAATAACAAATGTCAAATAAATTTCATATCACAAAAGCTTTCATGGAGATAATCTTGCAGTCGGTGCTATCAGGTTTAAATGTGAATGTCTCCCCAACTATCCAGTCGTTTGGAAGCTTTTTACGACCATCATAAACTAACTGGTTTCCATATGTCCGGCCTGAATACTTTTTGTTACATTTATCTAAAGTTATACCACCTTTCAGGTCCTTTGGTAAAAAGAATCCAACAACATCTCCTTTCATAACATTAATCTGTTCCGCGGAAGGGACTACATATCGTCGAATTCTGTGGTTCTTTGAACTTTTAATGACATTTTGACCAACTAACTCAAAACTGCAAAAAAAAAAAAAAAATGTACAAGAATATGTTTTTAGAATCGCAAAAATGCATAACGATGGTTTCCGCATGTTATATATTCATAATTACCTAATCTTTTTTCCAACAGTCTTTGACTTTCGCCACACTTGAAGAGCCAATACACCATCATATATACTGTAAAATTCCCATTTCACAAGACGTCCGTCTTTATGAATGCGCATAGCCTCATTTTGGGCTGTATAAGCACCTCCGTCTGCACCGCCATCGCGACTGCGCTGTCGTAATTCCACGTCAAAATTAGCGGTTGGTAAACTGTGCTCAGCTTTCATTCAAAAATTAGAAATTATTTCAAGACGACGTATTTCACAAAAAGAAAAAAACAATTATAATCTTTAAGGAAAAAGAACATAGAACGATCAATTTGCATGAAAACCAAAAGAAAAATTGTGTTAGAGATGGTACATACAAGTACATTTAGGCGGTTCGCCAGTAAGTTTCCCTGAAGAGAGGCAAGCTCTTCGCAGATTTCCACCAGTAAGTACATACCCCTTACGACAGTCATACTCGATTACATCCCCAGTACTGATAATAGAACCCCTTGATAACTGAATGGCATTTCGTGGATATCTTGGAATCTTGCAATTTTTACCTGGTGAAACAGAAACAACTTTACAAACAAGAAGTCTGTAAGCCAATGCTCACAAATAATACCCCCGCTCTGATGTGAATACACAAGTTCAGTTATGGACAAACACAGTGATAATCAGAAAATTGACATCGGATTTGTACAAAAAATGAATCCCAACATATGGCACGTCTAAACAAAGAGTGTGTTAAAATTTCAAGCACCTGCGATTAGTAGGTGCTGAGAAAACTGCGATCAATATTTGTTACATGTATGTATGGTACGGACAGATGCACGGATAAACAGAAAGTTGACATCGGATTTGTGCAAAAATGAATCCCACCATATGGCACGCCTAAACAAAGAGTGTGCTAAAATTTCAAGCATCTGCGATGAGTAGTTGCTGAGATAACTGCGACCAAAATTTGTTATGTATGGTACAGACAAACGCACGGATAAACAGGAAGTTGACAACAGATTCGTACAAAAATGAATCCCAACATATGGCATGTCTAAACAAAGAGTGTGTTAAAATTTCAAGCACCTGCGATGAGTAGTTGCTGAGAAAACTGCGACCAAAATTTGTTATGTATGGTACGGACAGACACACTGATAAACACAAAGTTGACATCGGATTCGTACAAAAATGAATCCCACCATATGGCATGCCTAAACAAAGAGTGTACTAAAATTTCAAGCATCTTTGATTAGTAGTTGCTGAGAAAACTGCGACCAAAATTTGTTATGTATGGTACGTGCAGATGCACGGATAAACAGGAAGTTGACATCGGATTCGTACAAAAATGAATCCAACCATATGGCATGCCTAAAGAAAGAGTGTCTTAAAATTTCAAGCATCTGCAATGAGTAGTTGCTGAGAAAACTGCGACCAAAATTTGTTATGGACAGACAGACAGAGAGACACACAGACAGACACACAAGGGTAAAACAGTATACCCCCTCTCCTTCGGAGCAGGGGTATAATAATGTGGTTTTCTTCGTTTTGATTCTATGTTTTATGCAGTCTATGCCTGATTTGAAACAATAATACCTTTGTTTTGACATAGACCACAACTTGCTGGACAACTCTGCCATGCAAAATCCGGATATTCTTTACACGTCCCCGGTTCTGATTCTATCTTCTCTACACAATTTGAGGAAGCATCGACACATTTTCTGCGGTCTTTAGATAGTAATTTATTTTTTTTAAAAATACAATATATATCTTTAATTGTTTTTTTAACTGCATCAACATTTTTCATTGAATTGAGGAAAAACATCTTACCTGATGGTATGAATTTGCAGACAACAGCTAAATATTTTGGGACACTACACCTGATACCAGACCATTGGCCGTCTCTATCCATGTACGCACACTCACTACTTTTACCTTTGAAATATGTTTTAAAATAGTTTACATGCAGTTTAAAAAAATTCCAGGAAAATTACAGCAACTAAAAAAACATTTTAGTTTCACTTTTCATTACCCTTTTTCCACTTTGTCCACGTGACTTGAGACATGTCTTCCTGCCATCTATGACGCCCTCTTCCGGCGACTTCCTCCAAACCTAACCAAATAGGTCGCATATCACCCCTGTGTATATATACATATACATTTAAGTTCCTCCAAACCTAACCAAATAGGTCGCATATCACCCCTGTGTATAGATACATACACCTTTATGTTCCTTCAAACAGTTGTCAAACCCAACCTAAGCGTTTGCATATATACATCACATTTCCGGTAATATGATTTATCTGTCCGGTAGATATTTAATTAATTAGTAGGGTTGTTCACAGTTATGTTAAATGTCTTGGTTATTATTTATTATGATTCTTTGAATGAATCATTCCTTTTTTAATGGTCAACATTTTATTTAAAATAAATCTAACCTCATGTGAACTAGGAATTCATCTTCGTCTGCATCTTTTGATGATGTAACAACTGCGTCATAAGCATGACAAAGTTCATTTGCCGCTGTTTTGTTTACTTCTACATCAAAAAACTTATAGCAAGACTTTTTGAATGGAACCCATTTATTTGGACAGCCTGTTAAAGAAATTTTGATACAATGTATCTTAACTAATGGTGTGCTTTAAACAAGCCTGAATTCAGACATTTATGACACAATGAGTCAGTAAGAATATGAAGTAATGTATGAAATATATTCACGTCCACAAACAAAGTTTCCTCCTGACCAAGAGCCATCTGTAAGACACTGTCGGGTTTCTTTCTCCAGTCCGCCATTACAACTGTACGTCACATTCTCCCCTACGCCATACTTTTTCTTCAATGATGACGTAGGTTTAGCGTCATCAATGTCGTTAGGAGTCTTACATTTGACATTGTCAACTATCAGTGGTAGAAAGACATGCAGGTATGATATGTGAAGGTTTTAAAAAAGCACACAATGGGCATGAGTTGTTCTGAAGTCAGAAACGAAAAAACACAATAATCAAACTAAACGAGAGAGCTAGGTTATGCTGGTCATTTTACTACCTGGCAAATCGGGTTTTTCTTTGCAATATCCACAAGACTTCCGGCAGCCATATTTGATGTCGATGTCATGTCCACACACTTGTGTTCCGTTAGAAAGTAACTCCTCACAGTCGAAGTATTTATCAAAGCAATGACCTGTTATGATCACAATTGTTATTAAAAATAATTACAATGCATATTTTATAAAATAATCTTTGCCCTAATTATTTCAAGAAACATTTACCCAGTCCACAGGGGTCGCAGTAGTTCCTCTCACAATTCTCTCGGTGGATGTAACACCAAGGTGAAGTTCCGTCTCCAGGGTTACGACAGAAATTACTGTCAAGGCCATCATCAAGGTCGCTGTAAAAAAAATCGTCATGATATCTGGGTGTTTTAAGATGATTCTTATGGGAACATTTGAGAGAGACTGACTTACTGTGAGTTGAATGTACTGTGTGGGCAGTGTTGGACTTCACTCCAAGGGAGACAAGGCTCAAAGTCTTTTGTAAAATTTACGTTTCCTCTGTAATTCTCTCCCTTTCCAGTGTAACAAAGGTCGTGATCTAGACAAACAAAATATTTTTAGATTTCACAAAAAAGTGAAATGATAACGTAAATGCATACACGTGTATTTATGAGAATTTATCGGGAAATCTTATTACGTGTATGTAAATAAGACGCACCTGTTAAAAGCGATATAGTCGCTTTAAAGCCTTTCTGTACTACATCAGGACCACTAGTGAAAACCAAGCCTAGATAATTCCTTTCTGTAAGAATCGTGGGTTCAAATGTAGAACCACAATAGCTGAAACAAGATCAAACACTAACGTTTATTTCTGTCCCATAAGATGTCAAATTTGGTTGACATGCTGTAATTTCCTCAATAAAAGATTATTCGATAAAATTCCCAATTTTACATTTGTAAAAGCATACTTGATTCCAGGATGACCCGGAAGTGTAAACTTGACCTCAAGATAATCCCCACATTTATCGTCTTCTCTCAGTTCTACCTCAAACTTCTCAAACGTCATTCTCATTCTTGTGTTTTGTGGACTCTATCGATATATAAGATAATACTTCACCTTGTCCACAGTACCTTTTACTTATAATCCAGTAAAGATATTTCTTGTACTTATTATATTAATTACCGTAATTGTCCATTGACAACGCTGGCGTGGATTATATTCATTGGGAAAGTTTGGAGAAGATATTGTCGTACTGGGGTTATCTCTGCTTAGTTCTATCACGTCACCACAGTCTGTATAAATTAAAATGGTTTGTCTTTGTGTTTTTTGTCTTAAGGGGAAGAAGGACCTTTAGCTGAAAAATTCTTGTCATTCAATTTTTTTTTAATTTTGTATATTTCTGATTAAGTATGTCCCACGTATCTTAAAGCAGTTATATCATTAGGTTTCTTACCTTATTTTAGAGATACTGATTGACAAATACTATGCCCTACAGTATCAAAGTGGAGTTTTAATTCTCCACGTTTCCGGGCTCTTTACTCTGTCCATAATGGGATTTTTAAAGCATATATAAAAATATGTAAGTGAACATGTATGTTTTAAAATAATTTAGAGTTTGAATAGGGTTTAAAATTCGAAAAAGCAAGTTTCTTCTATCACACTGCATCTGGATAGGGAAAATTAAGAACTTTTTAAGACAACTTAAACAACAAAAAACGTAATTTACAAAAAAATTCTATCATTCAATATTTTTAAATTTACGTTGAAATGCAAGTCCTTCTAATTACTGATTAACTGTAAAAATTTCGAATGGTGAAGCTGACCTCAATATTGCACAGGACATCGTTAAAGACGACATAAGCAGGACAAAAACTTGTCATGTTTACATTTCGCGAGTACGGGAAAAACCATCTAAATAAGCGAAATAAGATATACCTACATAAGATTTCCGTCATCAGCCATGCAAAAATAATTTTTTGTGTTCCCCGTTTCTCAAAATATTTCATCATTTACTGATTATGACCTGTTTTTACATAATAATACCGCCCCTGTATTCACAGAGTATGATCTTGCTGTACTAACAGATCGTGTATGATGTCACCGACGAATTGGACACGCAGTTTAGGGAAACAGAGGAGTGGATCAATCTTTTTCATAATTTGTTAATGTTTGCAAGAATGTTAAACTTTTCATTTTTTTTTAAATATTAGACGGTAATTAAAGAAAAAAATTGTCAAAAAATTATACAAGAACTGATGCTTTACATGTTTTGCACTATGACGTAGTTAAACAAAGTCATGTGACCATGTGTCCTTCATCCCCTTAAAATGGTTTTTCTCTGCTGATTTTTATTCACATTTTTGTATATATTTACATGAACATGCTGGAAAGGTAGAGGAGATAAATGATATGACCCGTTATATATCATTTATAACACTTATTAATGATGCACATGTATATGAAAACATTAACATTTGGCAGTTATTTAACCAACCTGTGCTGTGGACGTAAAATAGCCAGAATAGAACAGAATTGGTTAATGAGGAAGGATTGATGCCATTTGTTACAAACCATAGTTTATTGGGGTGTAGTAGCAGACGTTGATAAAGTAATTTCTGTCTTGTCTGATGGTTATATCTGGAGCGGATCCAACAATTTTATTTTCTCCAGACAAATCATTCTCAATCATCAACCATTGACTTGACGTCATCATGTCTACAACGGAAGAGGGTCAAAGGTCAACGCTGCATAAATTTACGGTACATCATACAAATAATATCATCTCATACGTACAGTCTTGTAAATGTTTCCTTGATTATAGATATAGAAATGTTTCACCTTTGACTTCTTGACATTCGTATCCTCTTTCAAACAAGAAAAATGGTTGACTACTGGGTAAATAAATCTGATCGAACCAGCTTCCGTCATTACGACAACAGAAATGGAAACCAACATTTTCGTCAACTTTGATATCAGGAACCGGAAGTGACTTGACACGAGGGTTTTTATTGTTGTCAATGACAACAAATCCATCTTCAAATCCTATTGTTAATATAAAAAGAGCCAACATATACAAGTGAGATGGTGAATATTGGATACATTTTTTTTAAAAAGGGGATTTTTACATAAGATGTTATTTGTCTAAAGTTCCTTTCAATTAAATCAAAAGTTCACAATAATTTTTTCTTCAATATCTATGTGTTGGAATGAAAGAAATGATGTTAAATGTAAATATAAGTTATGCATTTCAGTTTTAAAGTTCATGGGGATATGACCTGATCCTTTCTTACCAAGTACACTTATTATGAAGCGCTAACAATGTCATTGTAAATTGATTTACCGCTGGGACACTTGGTGTTTGAGCTGAGTATACAATACTGCCCGGGCTCCCACTGTGTATCTGTTCCGGGGCTTTCCTCTTTCGTACAGAACTTGAGCGTGAGTTCGTCATCACCCGCCTCTGTATCTATGTTGTACAGTTCGGAGTGATCGGAGCTAGGGACACCGAGAGAAAGACTCCCCTCCTTAAATCCCTCGGGGCAGCCATCATTGGGCTTCAGCATTGAAAACCCACTGGACGGCCATGAGGCACTTCGTAATGAAGCGTCTACAGCAGCAATAGACAGACAATTAATTTTTTTTACGTTAATTTTAAATTCCGTTTCTGTTAGGTTTTAGTGATACATTTCTTTGTATTTCATATTCCTATCTATGCCAATAATTTTAGTGTTACATGACCTCACGTTTCAAATATGAATTTATGTTTCAGAAAACATGATATTTTAGGGAAGCTATTGCATATTGAACAAATCCTTATATTTTGAAGATGTGATTATGTCACCTAGTTAAATTAAAAAATGGAAAGTACAAGTCAATCTATAGCGACCTTTTAGGCGGATAAAACTACACAAGTGGAAAATTATGACAACATTGTAATTCCATTCAAACTTAATCATGGGGCACCTTACCTCCACGGTACACAGTTGTACATCCAGTTTTGGGGTCGAGACCCTCCGGACATCGACAGGTACAAATGTCCCGGATGTACGATACATATCCTCCATTCTTACATTGCATGGTGAAATCAGGGCATCGTAATTCTAAAATTTAAAACAAATAATGAATAGATAACTCACAACTTGTTTCTTATCCTCCCCGTAGGTGTGTAAAATAATAAACTTTTACCTTGACATCTGTGTGTTTGAGAGATTTCGTAGAACATGTAATAGTTATAAGGGTCAGGGGTCATCATTAGATACTCAAGGTTGGGGTCTAACACTGTCATCGTCGGCTCAGCGTTAGCGGAGAACATCTTGAAACAAAAAGAAAATGTTAAGTTTATTGTACAGTTTAAAACCATGCCTTTGTTAATTTTCTGGTGTTCTAAGAATAGAATTTTAAAAATCTAGACATACAAATTTATTGTAGTGCATCGATGTGCCGAGGTCATAGTAGCCAAACGTCTTTGAACTTGACGGATCTTCTTCCTCGTATTCTTTCACGCGATCTGAAACAAAAAATAATACAAAAATTACACTAAAGTAGAGGAACTGTGAGCACTGAGCTCAGAAAATGATAACCCCCCCCCCCCCCCGCCTCCCATATGTTTATAATGGCAAAGTCCATGTTTTTCTATGGGAGACCGAAATAAGTGTCCCATCAAAAAGTGAAATAGGAGTTGCACAATGGCACTATGTAATAAAGATTCTCTGAAAGCCTCATTAAATTTCATTCAGTGGTATAGGAGGAGTTGCGGACAAGAGATGGGTACCCCTCAATATTATTGAAAAATGACAGTGTCTATGTTTAGCTATTGGAAACCCGAAATATGTGTCCGATTAAAAAGGAAAATAGAAGATGCACTATGTAACAAAGATTCTTTGAAAATGTCATTAAATTTTATTCAGTGGCATAAAAGAATTGCCGATAAGAGATGTGTACCCAAAAGCGTAGCAGACAGACGGACGGACAGACACCCTTATCACTTTACACCCCCGCTTTTCAAGCAGTGTGGGGGTATAGAAATACTTCATAGTCTTTAGGGACAACCTTAAAGAGTAAACAAAAAATTAACATGTCAAGCCGCATTATTTCTATTTTTAGCTTTGCATTTTTGAAGACATGTCTAACCATAAAAGACTATGCGCAAAATAATGTTTGTATACAAAAAAAAAACCTTTCTGTTAATTATGAAAAATAAAGAAAGGTTTCTGAATCGTTGCTGTAAAAAAAGAATTGTCAATTTCATTATCTTTTGTTTTTCGTTTTCTGTCCAGCTTTTTTTTAAGATTGGGAAATCTTGTAAAATTGTTAAATCGTACGTGAATTAGATCACCTGCAAACTGTCTCTATTGCGTTGAACAGCATATCAACAAATTAAATAAATTAAAATTTTCATTCTATCAATCACAATGACGAGGAAGTACATAGTCCAAAGATTGTAATATAGTTCAACATCCGAAGAAGACGGTAATGAAAACAGCAGAAAAGCAGTGGAATATATAATTTCCAAAGGACAACCAAACAATAGATCCAATCTAGCCATGCTTTTTTTTTTTTTTTTTTTTTTTTTTTTTTTTTTTTTTTTTTTTATTTATTTATTTACTTTTCTATTTATTTATTTATCTTGGTTTGTTTTTACTTTTTTACGTATTACTAAGAATTTGTACTTTTTGAGTCATTGGTTACTATGTTATAGTTTAGTTTAACCCGTTATGCTGCATATTTAGTTTTTGCTCTACAAGGGTTACATAAACTATAATTTTGCTTTATTCTTCTTTTTCAAGTTTAGAAACATCAGGTATTACCTGGCATTACATTTTGAAAGTTAATTCTAATGTAATCGTGGTGTAGGTAACTCTTCTGCTCGTGATGTAAACCCATCGCATGACCAATCTCATGTACACAGGACTCCTACAAATATAAAGCATGACCAATCTCATGTGCACAGGACTCCTACAAATATAGAGCATGACCAATCTCATGTACACAGGACTCCTACAAATATAAAGCATGGCCAATCTCATGTACACAGGACTCCTACAAATATAAAGCATGACCAATCTCATGTACACAGGACTCCTACAAATATAAAGCATGGCCAATCTCATGTACACAGGACTCCTACAAATATAAAGCATGACCAATCTCATGTACACAGGACTCCTACAAATATAAAGCATGACCAATCTCATGTACACGGGATTCCTACAAATATAAAGCACGACCAATGTCATGTACACAGGACTCCTACAAATATAAAGCATGACCAATCTCATGTACACAGGACTCCTACAAATATAAAGCATGACCAATCTCATGTACACGGGATTCCTACAAATATAGAGCATAGCCAATCTCATGTACACAGGACTCCTACAAATATAGAGCATGACCAATCTCATGTTCACAGGACTCCTACAAATATAAAGCATGACCAATCTCATGTACACAGGACTCCTACAAATATAGAGCATGACCAATCTCATGTTCACAGGACTCCTACAAATATAAAGCATGGTCAATCTCATGTACACAGCATTCCTACAAATATAGAGCATGGCCAATCTCATGTACATAGGACTCCTACAAATATAAAGCATGACCAATCTCATGTTCACAGGACTCCTACAAATATAAAGCATGACCAATCTCATGTACACAGGACTCCTACAAATATAGAGCATGACCAATCTCATGTTCACAGGACTCCTACAAATATAAAGCATGACCAATCTCATGTACACAGGACTCCTACAAATATAGAGCATGACCAATCTCGTACACAGGACTCCTACAAATATAAAGCATGACCAATCTCATGTACACGGGATTCCTACAAATATAAAGCATGGTCAATCTCATTTACACAGGATTCCTACAAATATAAAGCATGACCAATCTCATGTACACAGGACCCCTACAAATATAGAGCATGACCAATCTCATGTACACAGGATTCCTACAAATATACAGCATGACCAATCTCATGTACACAGGACTCCTACAAATATAGAGCATGACCAATCTCATGTACACAGGACTCCTACAAATATACAGCATGACCAATCTCATGTACACAGGACTCATACAAATATACAGCATGGCCAATCTCATGTACACAGGATTCCTACAAATATACAGCATGACCAATCTCATGTACACAGGACTCCTACAAATATAGAGCATGTCCAGTCACATGTACACAGGACTCCTACAAATATAGAGCATGGCCAATCTCATGTACACAGGACTCCTACAAATATAAAGCATGACCAATCTCATGTACACGGGATTCCTACAAATATAAAGCATGGTCAATCTCATTTACACAGGATTCCTACAAATATAAAGCATGACCAATCTCATGTACACAGGACTCCTACAAATATAGAGCATGACCAATCTCATGTACACAGGATTCCTACAAATATACAGCATGACCAATCTCATGTACACAGGACTCCTACAAATATAGAGCATGTCCAGTCACATGTAGACAGGACTCCTACAAATATAGAGCATGGCCAATCTCATGTACACAGGACTCCTACAAATATAGAGCATGTCCAGTCTCATGTACACAGGATTCCTACAAATATACAGCATGACCAATCTCATGTACACAGGACTCCTACAAATATAGAGCATGTCCAGTCACATGTAGACAGGACTCCTACAAATATAGAGCATGGCCAATCTCATGTACACAGGACTCCTACAAATATAGAGCATGTCCAGTCTCATGTACACAGGACTCCTACAAATATAAGCATGTCCAGTCTCATGTACACAAGACTCCTACAAATATAAAGCATGGCCAATCTCATGTACACAGGATTTCTTAAATGCATGGCCAATTATTCAAAACAGAACTTCTACAATCATGAAAAGATTGCATGATCTATCAAATATATACACGGGATTCCTTTAATCATAGACTTAGTTTAGTGACACTGGCACTTGTTTCGTATAAAGAACACCCCAGGGTACCTAGCTCAATTTTAGGCATTTCCACTTTAAACTCGTATTTTATTAATTTATCAATCATTACCCTACTTTAACAAGATATAATTCGCATTTGGATACATTTTCCCTGTCTAACGAATCGTTCCAGGCGCTCTTCGTCGAGCATCTTTATTGTAAACCACACATTTTAAGACTTTACAGAGGATACATCAATTTCCGGTTAGGCTTATAGCATGTATAGTGTAGGATAAAACCAGACACTTCTGAGCTTTTCATTCCAAAGTCTTCATTCTGAAGTCTCTGGTTTTATCCTACGCTACACTGTATAAGCCTAACCGGTAGTCGATGTATCCTTTGTCAAGTCTTAAAAAGTGGATTCCAGCAATATATAATGAGACTCATCTTCCGTGCGTCGGAGTTCTCGTGACCTACCGTATATACATGTACAGATGAGACCACAGAAAGACCAATATAATATATACAGGATTTATACAATCATAGACCAATATTATAATCCATCCTCTCTAACCATATTTTCTTTTAGAAAGCAGGAATTATCTTCACATAAGCTTGTCTTGTCATCAAAATCAGGTACTGTACACCAAAAAGTATCCTTTGCAATTACTTTCTTTTGCAAAACTTTTTAATATCATAAGTCATATGGGAAGGAAGTTGGTTTACAGTATCATGTTATGTGTACAATCTACTGCAGGTACTTGGAATTATTTAGTTTAGAAAATTAATGCGCCTAATTATACATTTGCTAATCTGATGTTATTATCACATATCAGATAAAACCTTTATTAAACGTCTTATTTCAGAATCTGAATATAACGGAGCAGAGTACTTTGTTACATGTAAATGTTTTATTTAGTACTGTATTTGAATTCGGCGGAGGACAGGTCAGATGGGTGAAAACATTTCTACTTACATCCATACAACAGGAGATCTTTTGTCCATTTCTTCTTGTGTTTCCTAGGACTGACCAGCATCTGGTAAAATTATAAATGTTTATTGAACACTGATGTCCTACCAGACTTTCCTGGTAAGTATAATATGTAGCTCCATTTCTCGTAAAAGTATGAATAAGAAAAAAGGTGTTTTTCTCTTTTAGCATAATCACAACAACGAATGTATATAGTGTCATCATAAATTACGAAATATTCAAATATAGTTCTTATTTCTTTTGTCTGTCAACCTCCAAACAAATAATTTTTCATTTGCAGGGTGATTTGAAAACCATTCTTTAAATAAATATTCATTTAATTTGAGCAATTGCTAAACAAAAATGTCTGTTTCTGAAAGACATTTCATTTCAAGTATCAACTGGTTTCTTTCGAAGTAAATTCCAAGACAACTACTCAAAAGTATGACAGAAAGAAGTTCAACATAGATACATAAAATGTCAACTTCGGTTAAAATCAGGAAGTGAAATAAGATAAGTGTTTGGAAACAATCATTCATGAATTTTCAAAACAAAAAGAATTCTATCTTGACCATGCACCAACACCCTAACCGACACCAAAACAACGTCATTATGACGTCACCCTTTATTGTCGACGTGTTTTAGATAGTTGTTGTGGTCCAGCCCGTACTCTCTGGCCGTGGTTTTTGTCCAAGGGACAAATCTGATACAGGTCCAGTATTCATATCGTCTATGAGCGCGGAGTCGGCCCAGGCGTTCCTCCTTTGCTATGAATTGCCATAACATTATCATATTGCCATGTTCTTTTTTTCTTTTTTGTATTTACATTCACTCAGGCAAATTTAAAATTTAAACATGACAATATCCACAGATTAAGGAGAAGACATTTTACTTTTTTGAAAATCAGAAATTATAAATTTGGTCTTTATTATTCTTTTCTTTTAGGTTCATTACAATGTTATATCACTTTTAATCAGTACGCCCTCCCTCCACCAGTCTCGAAAAATGAGTCCACCTTTGCACTTGAATACAATTTTTTCTATGTTTATTCATTTTCTAAGAAAGTTTAGTTGTGGATAAATGTCAGTATATTTTTTTCTGTTTTAATTGATACCCACATTTAACTTCGGATGTAAATACGTAAGGGATGATTCCATTGGTCCAGTAACGGTTCTCGTCCCTTATCGCCATACGTTTGCCACGCCCCTTCCACTCTCGATTTCGTCGTCGCCGTCTTCTTCCCTTCTGTCGCCGTCTACCGAATTTTCCTTTCTTTCTGCCTTTTTTATTCTTGTTCAGTTTCTGGATTAACTGCGTTTTCCTTTGTTTATTACTGTTTCTTTGAGCTTGAGATGCTTTCATTTTATCCTGTTTAGATACGTCAGCTCCATAAGCTTTCTGCAATGAAAAATTAAAAAATATTTTTTTATTAGAATTGCGTCCAAAAATTTATATTTAGAGCAATAGATGTTGATTTTTGCGCGTCGTTAACTCATCAACAGTTGTCTTTCCTACCATATACTCTTTTGCTTTCTCTGGTATTTCCACCTCGTCTGGATTCGCCCCTATTTTCTTTGCAATGTTACGCTGATTTATATACTGGTAATAAATCAACTCCTGTTCTTGTATTTTCTCTTCAAATGACCCGTCATCAGGACTTTTTACTTCCTCATACTCCTAAAATATACAACCAACCAAAGTAATCTGTCAGAGAGATAATTTACGGCTGATAAAAAAAGTTTAAAATATTCGTTCTTTGACAGCGAACGGGATTTATATTTTGACAGATCACCACTTTGATCTGATATTTACTATTCCGGCTTATCTCAGAGGATACTGTAACAAACCTCCAAGATCTGGAAGGCCTGTCTGTCCTCGCCTTTGGGTCCCATGATCTTGAAAAATTTTCCTTTTGATTTAAATCCTTTGACACCCTTTGCAACCTAAAAATTGAAGAAAAAAAACATCTTTAGCACATTTATACAATAACATGCAGTCTTACAATAACGTGAACACTATAAGTACTTTTCAGTTTTAATAAATGTATAAAACATTGGTTAATTATTATATTGACTGTTCAATGAAATTAAATTACCAAATCATCTTTGCCGTGCGCACCAAGAAACGAGAATATTATCATCAAAATCGTCAACGTGGCCATGGTTCCTAAATTAAATAGAAACAAAAAAGTTAGTTTGAGAAAGAAGTTACTATTCCTAAGGCAAATTGGGAAAATCTCATTCATTAAACAGGAAAGTTATCATCAGAATTGTTATTAGTACATGTACCATGGCCCCTAAATCAAGTAGAAAAAGGGGGGATAAAGAATATCAGAAAAAATATATATTACATATAGATTATTAGATAAATTTGGAAGATCTACAATATTAGACTGTATCTACTTACATACTGTTAGATTCCGTGCTATTTTTCTGCCATTTTCTCCCCCTTTCTGCTGAGGTCTCCAGCCGATGTCCCTTTATAAGAACTCGTATTGTAATACCCAAATACAGAATCGGGAATGATCCCGGGTTTATGGGGACAGCAGTCCCGTATAATTGTCATCAACCCCTTCATACTATGGGATTACTTCCATTTTATTGAAAGGTATGCAGAATGAAACCTTAATATCTTTAATAAACGAAATGGAAATTGTTGGTGTTATTGAATTTGTCACGTCATTCTCTTTGGATGTTTTCTATGAAATCTATCTCATGACTGCTTTAATTTGCCTATATATGTATTTTCTAAACGATCAGTTACCCTAAAATTGGTGTAAGAGACCCCACCCCTCCCCCATCCCCCTGTTTCCACTTAACAACATTTGATAAAGAAATGAAATGTGGGCTTTATGATATAATTAAATGTTTTAAAAAGTAGTGAATGGATTTCGTTCTGTGAAGGGAATGTTCTCCAACGTTAACACACACCAAATCCTGACCTGATTTTATTCGTATTTTTAAATTCAATGTTTCGAAATTTCATCTTTTACTTTTAAAAAAAATCAATAAATGTGGAAACCGCTACATTTGATATAGGAGAGTTATTTTTCCCCTCAGTTAGCTCAGACAGGGATTGAATCTAATTCCCCTCTCCCTTTCCGATTTATTCATGCAGAATATTATTATTGTTAAACTGTATCTATAAATAGAACTTCATTTCTTTTTATACGTATACGCCATGAGCCTTCTTATCAGTCACTTATGATGAATTATTTCATAAAAATAGCTTACGCTGGAATGGGTACCTTTGAGATAATAAGATATATGCACGTTCGTAAGATAATATACTATAAATAAATATAAAATTAAAGATCCAAATCCGTTGATCTCGGAATTTGAAATATTTGACGTTATCTGATGCCAGCTCTGAAGGCACGTGTCTCGAGTTATCACGCACGGTTGTCTCTATTAGTGCTGGTTTCCCGATATCAAATGTTAGCTTGTCTTTCAGTTTTCAAAGATATCATTATCAATGTTAAGCACTTTTGATGAGGGGAATTTTCATTGATTTGACAAGCCACATGTCAAAATTGGATTTGAAATCTTCAGATTTTTGTGGATTCTTCCTCATTCTAAAAATTGAAAGATTACAGACACTCTTTTGAAAACAAAAATTACAGATAAAGTAGCTTCGAATTATAATCATGTTTATTTGCCTTTTGATGAGAGTAATTTTACATTGATTTGACAAGCCACAAATGTCAAAATTTGATGTGAAATCTGAAAATTTTTGCGGGGCTCTTCTTAATTCTAAAAAATTTAAAACATTACAAACACTCTTTTGCAAACCAATTTACTGATAAAAAAAAAAAAAGACTTCAAATTGTAAAATTTGGAGCTTTGATAATTGGGGGGGGGGGGTCCTGATATCGGAATAAAATCTCGATTACCTTTCTACTGTTTACATGCACATGTACTCTTGTGAGAGTTTGTCGTCAGTGACGAAATGTTCGTAATCAAACACCCCTCACATTTTGGATGTTCTATTTCAGGAGTGAAGTTAATGGGGTCGCCTGTTAATCGATTGGCTTTAAGTTGTTTACAAAACCTTACTATAGTTAACTAAATTACAGTTGGAGTGAGTTGAAGGCTAGCTGATAGCCATTATGTACATTTCCTACTTATTCAATGCATTTTCTGCTATTACTTGCAATTGTCAAAGTATAACGAACATTGAAGATATCGAACATTCTTTCCAATGTAGCTCAAGGCCGTTGCCAAAGAGGGAAGGGGGGGGGGGTATTGCACGCCCTTTAGAAAAAAAACACTCGAAAATATCTTCATTATTTATCAAAGTAATAACTTCAAAAATGCACAAGAACCCACAAGAACCCACAAAATGGTACCTATTTATATATATAAAAAAAATATCGATCAGGGGAGGGGGTACCTTGGCAGACATTTCCCCGTACCCCTTTCCAAAAATATTGCGATGGCCTATGGCTACTTGTAGTATACTCTTGAAATGCCGGTTGAGTTTACTATACATTTCCAAAAACGTGACTCTTATATAGACTGCACATAAACGTAATTTATGATCAAATAATCTTTTAGCAATCCCATGTATGTAAAACATTGTACACTAGTTTGAAAAACAGCCCCGATAGAAAGGTACTACATTTTGTTAAACAGAGCTGGCACTATAGCATCCCTGATCATTTTTCAGTACCTTCAAGACCACCTTTAAAAATTCAAAATAACATTAAACATGGATGCAAAAGCATCTAGGCAATCAGTATCACGGGTGTGGCTAGTGGCTCTCTCCATTGTTGTGCTTCTTTGAATGAAACTTACTGCTGGCTTAAACGTAAGATTTTTTTATCTGGCCCTCCAGCAGCGCCGTATTACTATAAGATAACCTGACCAAATACACTGGGCTGAATGAAATTTCCTCACAACTGGATGACTTACTTCTCCATCAACATCGCCTTAAGTTTTCACAAAAATCAGTAGAAAAAGTATAGAGACGAGAGCGTCTAAAACGGTCAGGTCATCAGTGTAATAAAGAGACCACAAACACCAGCAGATAAAGTCAAGTATAGGGACGAGAACATCTAAAACAGTAACTTCATCAATGTAATGAAGAGGCCACAAACACCAGCAGAAAAGTATAGAGACGAGAGCATCTAAAACGGTCACTTCATCAATGTAATGAAGAGGCCACAAACACCAGCAGAAAAGTATAGAGACAAGAGCATCTAAAACGGTCACTTCATCAGTGTAATGAAGAGGCCATAAAACACCAGCAGAAAAGTATAGAGACAAGAGCATCTAAAACGGTCAGTTCATCAGTGTAATGAAGAGGCAACAAACACCAGCGGTAAAAGTATAAAGACGAGAACCTCTAAAACGGTCACTTCATCAGTGTAATGAAGAGGATGACTAAGTTTCCAAGAACTTTAACAGACAATCCTATCTACAGATGGGGAAGTTTAGTAAATGATATAGGAGAAATAGAGGCTGATAAATGAAAACAAAGATCATAGCACGACCATTTGCAGAGCAACACACGTCAAGCCAAATAAAACATCAGCTTTATAACTATACTCCGCAATGGCCCGAAGACTTGGAAGACAACTAAAGGGTCTTCTTGATAAAGGTCATGTGTTTATTAACGACTGCCTCCGACAAATCTTTTGATACAATGTAAAAATTAGAATTTCGCAGCATATGCATAATCCGAGGAAAAAAGCTTTAATAAACTTTTCACGGATACTTTTTATGACCCACACCCCTGGATCTCAAAGCCTTACTTAAGATTGAGTCTGATCTCCTCAGTCGATACTTTATGAATAAGGTTATTGGATTATCTAATCATGGATGAAGAATTTATTTCATGAATTTTACCAAGCTATCGTGTGGTTGTTCATGAAAACAAACATTTGCTTCCTTTAAAAAAAAATCTATATTTGTAGTCCCATCTAGTAGATCCTGTCCTAAATGAAGACATTCTATGGAAGAGGACATGTACCGCCATCATCCAATCTGGCGAACGGATCAATGTACATGGACTGTCATCATCTAATCCGGAGAACGGATCAATGCCTCATTTCCCTAGACTTGACGGATATTAATTTGCAAATCTGAGCCCGGAAAGGTCTTTAAGTTAGGTATGTGAAATATAATTGATGAATCAACCCAAAAGCAATATACGGTCTAAGCCATTCTTAATAATGGCGAAATATTTTATATAAAGAGCACTCGGGCCACTTCATTATTTGGATTATTGAGGTACGAGTTCCTGACAATAATTCAATTTATTCATGTACAATGGCTAGATGCGGCAGTCATAATTTATTGACAAACTTCAGACAACTTATATACATATACATTTTTCCAATCAATAAGGAAAAATAAAACAAAATTAAGAAAAAAAGGGAAAATGACATCTGATGGAACTTAAAGAAACAAAGAAAGAAAACATACAGAAAACTACAAGTTAAAGACTGAACCACTTTAACACTCAAGACTGGAAAACAAAATAGTTTTCTAATGGACAATTTTGTATAGTAATAAAGTTTCGCATATACCTAGAGTATCTTCTCAAATTCCTTAATTGCAGTCTTCTGCACTATTGTAACCAATGCCAAGAAACATTAATATCCCGTGTCGGTTATTCCTACCTCCTTTTAATAAGATGCTTCTTTAATTCATTTTGTTAACATCAATGCTATGCTGTTCTAACCTACATGTATGTACGGGAGACAGAAAAAAAAGCATGACAAATGACCTTGACTTTTCTTTTTAAAATAAAAATTTAATATTTACCATGTCCTGACGTGATTCAGAGGAGAAGGGGGAATTTTGGAGTTTGGAAGAGAATAGTCTCCTTCTTACTCAAGAATGGAATGGAGAAATGCAGTAATATATCATTCTACTTTTTATGTTTATGATTTAAAATTATTTTGAGAAGTTTTGCTATTACTGATCAACATTGCTATATTTACCCGAAATGCACGAGAGTTTTGGTATTTCGTTTTATGGGAACTGATCTGATAAGTAATTCTAATGACAGTGTATTGTTAGAGCAAGCAATCGATTGGTTATTATGTTATTTTTCAGAAAGCTTATCACCTTTGCGGCGTTACGCCTAGATGTGAGCTGTATTAATTTGGACTGAGACTGTGTGACATTAACAAAAACATCCGGTGAGATAACAAATCTCAAAGGTAGCGAGGACGTTACAGCAATTCAATATCCCAGTATATCTCGTACAGACGGTGTGTGTGGGAGAGGGATTAGGATGCCGGCTTATATAGACCCCAAAACAGAAACTTACCATTCAAATAAAGAACTGATAATTACGACCCGCCATCAAAAGTCTTATCCAACAGGGAGCATACATATCATATTAAAACTGTTTCTGCAATATCAGTGTTGGATCGTTACATAAGCTGTACTCAGGGGGACTCTGTGGGGACGTGTACATGTACCTTTACTGTCCAATGAGGAAAGATTCTAATAGCAGATATTAGGATAATCAAATAACATGAATTTCCAATTATTATCTTGTAACTAAATGTAATTTTAAAAAAAAACATATGAAAACTTAAGTTTATTGTTTGACGTGAGGTTTAGACTTCGATTTTTCTCCAACTTTACCTCATTTTGATAAAAAGAATTCAAAACATTGCATTAGATTTATATAGTTTAGCAAAGAATTTCAGTCAACAGTTTTCACTAAAATATTCGATTTTACTGTATCGTAATTATAATGAAGAAATCAAACTGTTATTGTAAAAAAGATCACAATTTGAGTGCATCAAAACTATTCAGTTATGTACTCTCTCACTATTCAGAATTTCAGATGTGTACTCTATCGTTCGAAGAGCTAAGAGAAGCCTTATTATGTCGGTAATGGAGTATGCGCCCCGGTGACATTTTCTCAACATGGTGCACATTTTTCTTAATTTCAAAATATGACGGATTATTGTTTTCCGGATCTCCACGGATAATACTGTAACCCAACTTCCGGAAGGCGTCAACCTGGTAAGCACTGCAGTCAGACATAGAAACCGGATGTGTTCGATTGAAATTCGCGAAGTCAACAACAAGAGAATCACGATCGTTGTATTTTTTTGCCATAGTATTGAAACGATGTCCCCATAAAATATCCCAGGCCATGTATGAGGTCTGTGTTTGTAGATTGTTACTGGTAGTGGACACTATTCCGTCCAGTATCACAACTAACTCAAAGTCCTCCCTCTGCAAATCCTCCCGAGAAATTTTCCAGAATGGTGACGTATTGTCAATGGTATGGACAAGTTGTGTAGGCCACGCCATGAAAAGCTGCGGACTTCCGTCTTCTCCATTGAATTCCATCGGAAAACACTTAACAGGATGACTACCTCCGTCCGTCGATCGCATCGTCTTGAAGAGATGCCCACGCACATGCGCACCTATGATGTGAGAACGACGCATGTCGCCAATTCGGATGACTAGTTTATATATCCCATCCTCTTCTACGATGCAGGCAACAGAACTAAACATCAAGGTACCTGACCTCTTTTTACCTCGCCGCACTTTAGCCACTACAAGTCCTGCGAGAGCAGCCTGCAAGCCGGCGCCTATAATGTTCTGTAGTAACACGCCTATTACGGCGTAGGGGCATTCCTCTGTAACATATCGGAAACCGTAACCTATGGTTGTCTGTGTTTCAATAGAAAAGAGATAAGCTGTCGTAAAAGAGTCAACATTCTCAAAACAAGGCGTTTTGTCTGTTGCTTTCACGTCACTTATATCACCATGGAGTTTGGAAACTAGCCAGTAAAACAGTGCAAAAAATAACCACGTGATCACAAATCCACTAACGAAAATTAACATATTCCATCTCCACTTAGTATCCACCATTGTGGTGAAGAAGTCATTCATGAGATGTTTTCCCTTACCACGAATTCCGACAGTCTTTATATTATATGTAGAATTTTTGGAAACTAATCGAGGTCGATGTCTGAAAGGCCGATTTTCCTCAACTGTCGCCATTTTAAACTATTCCTATGAACTGAAAAATAATAATAATAATAAATAAGAAGTCCATAGACTCTAACGATTTGAAGATATGTTGGAATCTTAAGTTAAATTTATCTATAATTATAATAGTTAAAGATCAGTTTAAGATTTAACCTTTAAATGTTAAACAAGTAATTCCAAACTGCGGGCTTTTTTAAATCATCAAATATGAACCCATTCAGAAACTCCAAACTAAAGGATGGCAATACTTTTTATGTAGCATGTTTAACTTGTTGTGACGGTCTAATACAGCTCTTTAGAATCGATATCTGAAATTTTTAGAGTTAATTGTCGTAAATATGCAACCTAGAGACGAATGAGCATTTGTTTGACATTTGACATTCGTTGGTAAAAAAAAAACAACAAAAAAACCGCATTTAGCCATATTGTCTCTTGGCAAGAGTACACGTATCCTTCATTATAATACACCCACCTTTGTTCATTAAGCTTTTTTTTCAAATGAATCTTTTTTTATTCAAATTTCTAATAAATATACGGATTAAAACAAATATAGCCTAGCATAAACATAGATGTATCTCGTTATTGTTACATTATCGATAGCATAAACTATTTCACATAATTATGAACAAAGAAACGAGGAATTGTACCATTTACAGAAATGTCTAGATTTCTAAATCGTCTGTAAACATAATTTCTTTGACAAAAGATTCAGTGACTGTCTTGGTGTTATATCTAATTCCCTGATTAAAGAAAAACATTTAAAAAATGACTCAAAAAAATCTCATTACATTCCAGTATACTTAACTAAACTTATTTACCGCCCACTTTCCTTATTTATGTAGCAATATACCGTTATCACCTGTATAATTATGTCTCCCAGTTGATTCGATACGTAAAGGAATGTTCTACTTGCGAACAATTTCTAAAACGAGGCAAGCTACTGGCCAAAAATTAATGATACGGGGTATCAATATACATGTAGTTTAAAGTGAATATTTTGCAGATTCTATGATCGACACAATGACTTTGTTTGCAACTACAATCTGACAGACGTTCTTCATACAAATTCGAAGGTCGTTATTTTCCTAGTGACTACAGAACTGTGCTTCTCGGTTTTCCCGATCATGACAAGCGACTCATTGTGGGTGTGTCCGGTCGACAGGTGATTCTTCCTCCACTATGGCACCTGATCCCAACACTGATGTTTTAATATGCCCGTGTTTGCGCTGCTCCCAGTTTGTACTATTTAAAGTTTGCGCTGCTCCCAGTTTGTACTATTTAAAGTTTGCGCTGCTCCCAGTTTGTACTATTTAATGTTTGCGCTGCTCCCAGTTTGTACTATTTAATGTTTGCGCTGCTCCCAGTTTGTACTATTTAATGTTTGCGCTGCTCCCAGTTTGTACTATTTAATTTGACTTTGAGATTGATTACTGCTTCTTATCTTCATATTTCATTTCATTTTTTTTTAAAATGCGAATCAAGCTGATTGAGACCCTGCTAAACACATTCCAGTTAAAAGTCATTTTTGATTTTAGCATTTTACTTTCTTACATTTGATTTAAGAACTTATTAGTTTGAATAATCCAGGGCTTGGGACAAGCCCTTGCCATAGTAAGAATACGTTCCGTATAGTTGCATTGTAGCAAATCGGAGAGGATCCGCTCCGACACGATCTTGAAGAATACAAAAAGAGTTATACTAAAAATCACTACCTAATCATTACGATAACAATTCTTTTTTTAGCTTGTATATGTCTTCTACCCTAAATAAAAATAATCCATGTAGTGAGGAGATGATCCTTACGTCGCAGGTTCGAACTTGGAGACTTGTCCTTCGAATGAGACCGTATAAACCGAGGTCCCTTGTCGCAGTGGGTGTTGGCACGAAAAAGATACCTCAGTGCTTAAAGGCCGGAAGTGATGAGTACTGGCCTAAATTAGCACCCCCGCCCCACCGCCAAGTAGTGGAGTTTCAATAAGACTGAAAAATCTTCGAAGGGAAACATACGCAGGTACATGACAGGTGCCTTTAGAGAAGTTTTAAATCTAGCAAAGGAATATAAAACAAGAAATCTTTGATTTGTAGATTTTATCTTTATCCCATCTCTCGTGTTCTAATTGTCTTCGATACTTCAAAAGACTTGCTCAACAAATCGGACGATTTTGTGGTGTCTATTCTAAGCATCAGAGGAAATCAATTGGCGTTAACATCTGTATTGATTGATAAGGGTAAACGTTTGTTTACAAATCCTGTAAAAGTATTTATACTAAATCTCAAATCTAAGAATTCCTCTGTGCTGTATTTGCAGGCGAAACTCACCAGAAATGGCATCTATCAAATGGCGAGGCAAACAATGTCGTGCTTTTGTAATCCTAAATTCATTAAATAAATCTGGGATCATGTCAAAAATATTTTGAATTGTTTAAGATATTAGAAAACAAAGCAGTCAGTAATGGTATAGCGATGTTACGGATGAGAATTCATGCGATATCAATGCTGCTTTAATACGTATATGTTTATTAATTACCCAGGTTAACAGTTCTCAGTTTGTTCGATATTCATGCAAGGAGATGAACAATGTTCGTTTGCCGATAAATCATTAAAGGATCATGCAGTGCAGCGATTATTTCATATCACAAAAAAGTTTATTACAACCTATAGATCCTTGATATATAATCTACTGTTCAATGTCGGGCTCACCTGTGTTGTTGTTTATTGACGGTTACCTGTAGAAGCCAGGGGTGCTAGCTACTTCCCTGTTAAGCCATTGTCCGCTTTTATGGATACAGTTATAACTGACGGCGTATAGAAAATAGAAGACAATTTCCTCCTAACGATGAGCGATTGTGACGAAACGCTACAGGTGATAGACAGTAAACTTGTCCTGTACACCGACTATAAACATCCATGTTTTGTGTCGAGGTCGATATACTTTTGTAAACAAAGAATTGATTTAAATCTGATTTATACCGACAGACTTGTTCAGGTGAAATTTCAGAATTTTAAATATCCTCCAGAGCTTCATGGACAATGATTATCGTTGTTTACCCTTCCGTTTCTGTTTCATATCAATTAAATATGCATCTAATGTATAGTAAATACAGTGTACATATGTATGGCTAGTCTCTATTTAATTTTAGGGCCTCGGGATCCCTTTGAGACACCCGTGACCGTTTTATCGTCATCAATTTTTATTTTCTGCTAAAGGAAACAATGATCTGGAAATCCATAAGAAAAAGTAACGTTTATGGTTAAAGTTTAATATCAAAAATTACGAATTCAAGAGTTCAACTGAAGAGAAAGCTATAGCTCTCGTTAATTTTTACACTACTTACCCGGACGGGTGTAATCCTGAGCTGTGTATATACGGGTCAGTGGTATTTACATGACAAATATACATGACCCTCATCCGCTTTCATCGCACCTTTTTATTACGGAATAAATTTCCCTCGGGAGTCATCGCCCTTTGAACGTGCGAGGCCAACAATCCATTGTGTCGTGCAAAATAGCTATACACTTTTGATATGTATGTCGCACAGTAATTTTGTTTTTTGTTTCCTCCAGTTTTCTGGTAATTTGTTGTTTCTAATTATTTAATTCCGTGGTCTTGTCTTTATCCGAGCTTTGGTTAACACAGGCGATGGTACCCCCCAAACATTTCCTTAAAGAACGTAAAAACTGCACGCGTATGAAGACGTTTTAACACTGCAAACTCATAATGTCCTCCACGAGACAATTCCCTTGTAGACGAGGGATATTGTCCGCGTTATTGGCCGCCCGAATGGAGTATTCAGGCAAACTCTCTTATCAAATTTGTAAGATTCAAGGAGATAGACCTTCTATCAATTTGCCAATTTCCCTTCTAGTTAGCCAGCCTAATTGAACAACATAAGGAGCTATCGAAACTTGAAGGAGTTGTTGTGAAAGCTGGCAAATTATCACCAAATGTACAGATATCTTCTCCTGAACTGAGTAGACAACATTATTTTAATCTTCTCCCCATTTTTAATGATTTATTACACACGTGACATTCACTGAACATATATGTTAAAGAATTTATAATATTCCATTATTCATAATACACTTTTCCTTGACGCAGTCGTCATTTAATTGAATTCTCTTTATTTTATACAATTAATATAAAAGACTTGATTTTGATGGGCATATTTGTAATAAAGGCCATCCTTCATTGAGTATAATTTATACAATTAATTAAGAAATTACAAGTTTTATGAAAAGGGTGCGATACATTGGGATTTGAAAATAAACTCCACCACGACCACGTTGTCATCGAATGCAGTGTCATAACTACTTGATTCTTTTTAAATAAAAACAATTGCATAATGCTTCTATCTTTATTTCACATTTTTCTCTGAACTGGAACACTCTATGTCGGGGGAAAAATCGAAAGATTCCGATTAATTTCAAGGAGGAATACCAGAGTTATTCCCCTTGATAAATTCTTAGGTAATAGTCTGACATTTATCGTGTTGGTTTGGATAATCACACAATCAGTTACAGCTTTAATTATATACAGCTACACCACTGTCCATAATCAATTAAGGAAAGTTCGTTAAGACGCTATAAGTTAGTGCAGTTCCTCAGGACTCTTTAAGTTAGTGTCTTTGTCATTAAAATTAATGGAAAAAGAAGCCTCTTAATAACAAAATATATTTCCTTATACCATATACCTTAACTAACAATAGAGGCTTGTGTTCTAAATATATTGGCCTGATGAGAAATATGTCAGAGATCTTTTTTTTTTTTCAGAAAACGACAGGAGTCCTAAAAAATTATCAAGTTCCAAACAGAGAACAGGCAACGACGCCAGTTTATCATATCATTGGACAAGTTTTACACTAGAAACTGAATATAATGATTTAAAATATTTCTTTTTACCATCTAAAGCATGAGGCTAAAATATATTTCTCGCACTTGTTACCATTTATCCATTTTTTTTTAATTTTTATTAATGTTTTTTTCACTTAATCTATCAAGTATCTACTTTAAAGGCGGCTTCAAATTATTACTTGGCCCAAATTAATTCAATTCAATGACGGAGCAGTGATATTTTCACGACAGATATACAGAAATGATATATGGACTCTTTGGGACATTGTAGTTACGAACATCTTAATATTATAATTAAATCAATAAGCATTTTCTCACTTGTACTTTTTTTTTACTATAATAAATTTATTTATTAAATTCTATAACATTTCATAACCACTCTCTAAAAGTTTTCACAAAAATAAAACAAGTAACAAGAATGAAGTGATAATATGGAAGAAATATTGCATAAATAAAACACAGTAAAACTTGACTAACAAGGAGATGTTTCATGTGACAATCACTGCTTTGTAGTGACAGGAATACTACACGATGATTGGACGTACATCTCGCACTGCTAGCTCGATACATCACTAAACCTTATTCTAAGGTAATACTTCAAGTCCAATCAAAAGTCCAATTTCCGTCTGGCTAAAGAAAAACACACAAAAATGCATTTTTGACAGAGAAGTTTCAGGTATCCTTCAATAATCTGTCAACTCGGTGTGTGAACTCCCTTATAAGCACTGAACATGTCAAATCATGGCCGCAAGATAATGTAATAAACGTTAATCCTACATCGCCGATCTAACTGCACATCGGGTTGTGTACTGGGACTTCTTTGCTGATTAACAAATATAATTATTCTGTCACATGTATTGCTCATTGATGTACTCAAACCTCCGCCTCCCTCGCGGGGTGTTCTGCATTATAGGACATACAGTACTGATGTCGAAATAACTGCAATGATATTTCCCATCATCATCTATACCAGGATTAATACTCAGAAATTTACATCCCATAACGATTTCATCCGTAAGGTAGGAGGTTCGAACTTGGATCGCCCTACTGGTAGATTCTATCACGCCCTCTATCGTCACAACCAACTCTGAGAAGTCTCCAAACTGATGGAGATTTTCTGGCGGCCATAATGGACTATTCTCGTCTATAGTGTGATACATAACTGCTGGCCATAACAGAGTAAGTACATCTCCACCACCTTCTGATTTGAAGTCGATAGGGACCTGGTCTAGAAATTCTTGATTAGTGTTGGGAATAGGGGTCCTTTTGATCAGTTTACCTTTACCTATCACGTCCACAAGATGGGAGCGCCGGAAGTCACCTACTCGAACCATAAGCTGCCATTTACCGTCAACAATCCCAATACAGGCCTGCTGACTGAAGATGATAGCATCCCCACGCTTTTTCGACCTCTGAAGCTTTGTGAAAACGAGAGCAGCTGTCAAACACTGTACTCCGATCCCGATAATAAACTGAAGAAATACCAAGAACACGACATGAGGGCAATGTGGGGTTGAGGCTCGAGAACCATACCCGATTGTATGCTGGGTCTCCACCGAAAACAGAAATGCCGTGGTAAAATCATACACGTTTGTGATACAAGGATCGTGGTCATACGAGTCTACAGTATCCCCATTAATGTAACTAAACAGAAGATAAAAACAAGCGAATACCGTCCAGGTCAGTATAAACCCCATCACAAATATCAATAAAATCCACCTCCATTTTGCATCCAGTAACGTTGTGAAGGCGTCTCTGATATAGTTTTTGAGAATGCCTGTGTCCACATTTTCTAGTCGGACACGGTAGTTCCCATGTTTGCTGACCAGTCGCCACTTGTCGTCCCCCATGTCCGACTTAGAGTCCGTGCGAGACCGGACACAACTGTCCATTCTAGTTTTTAATGTTTTCATTACCGGTGTGTTGTGTGGGTCGTACTGACTGACAAGATTGTGACTAGAGGGAAATTCTTCTTGTGTATATTTATACTCCTTCTATGACATCATTCACTTTACCTTGCCACCTGAGTGCGTCTCTTGTCGCGCGTTTTAAGCAACTTTTCTCGTCATCTACAGGTTGTATTAACCTCATGCAAGTCAAAATGTAAAAACATGAATTGTAAATGAATGTTTGCTAAGAAGAAATGTTGAAATTTTGTTCCAGTTATTTTTAATTGAATGAAGAGCGACCTGCCTCTCATTATCATAACCTAAGGGTTTAATTTAGTCTTCTTGAAACAGAATATTATGGTGAATGTCAAATGGCATGCCATACTGCATTAGAGAATTAAGTATAATAATTCGGTTAATGTCACTGTATAAGAGAAAAATTTGAATCAAATACAGTAAGCAACTATTCATTATCCGTAATAACTTTGTGCCAGTGTTAGAGATTACATATTTTCTATTCAATTTATTCACTCAAAAACCATGTAAATGGTACATGAGGTACATAAACGTATAAAAACATATATACATATAATATAGTGGGTCAGGCAAAAGGTGAGATTAATTGAGCTAGCTAAGGAGAACAGACAATACTATTAATTTTAGTAATAAATGTATATAATTTTTTTCCAAAGATTCAACATCTTTTTGGCACATGACTTCACAAAACTTCATCGTATTTGGGTTTGAACAAAATTTTTGGTTCAAAAAATCTTTCCTCAACTGGTTTAAAGCAATACATTCTAAAATATAATAATATTCATCTTCTATCTGTTTACTGTCGCATAAGCTACAAAATTTTTCACTTCTTTGAATACCACTCCATCTACCTGTTTCAATTGGAAGGTGATGGTTTGTGGTTCTAAATTTAACAAAAGTTTTTTTTAATTTATATGATAACAGCGTTAAATATTTTTGGCAACTCAAAATTGGTTTTAAAAATTCTATAATTCAAACTTTTTGAAGATTTTTGAACTTCACTATTCCACTTTTGAATGTATAGATCTTTTAATCTTTGTTTGACTGTAGCAGCTATCCAATTTTCTTTATAGAAATATTGCTCGTACCATGAGTAAATAAAATGACACTTTTTTAATAAATCAAATTAATTCCATGTGTTAATTGGCGTAAATTGTAAGTTTTTTTAAAAAATATTTAAACTGTATCATTTATAAAGATTAACTTAAATGTTTTCTTAAAGCACTAGTTTATATTTTGAAATATATTTACTAAATTTATACTTCAATTTTGAATGGCAATTTTTAGTAGGAATATAAAACGATGAGTATTTTCAAGCTTTGTTTGAAAATTTAGGATTTGTCTGCTTTTTTTCAAGGAGTTTCATGTGATTCCAGATTATATTTTTTCAGTGTAAAGATGTATTGAAGAAACGGAATAACATGTAATTGTCTTTTATGAATTTCTTGATAATCCTGTGTCCTTCAAGATGCCTAATAATCACGAGCTAATAATGGAAAAGTACGGGGAAAATACATGCATAATTTATTAGGAGTAGTAAATCGTAATAAGCAATCGTATGGACAATGCGTCTTTATAAATTTAACCAAATTTGTTATCATTATACGACAGGTAAAACCCCCAAAAAATAAAGAAGATTCTGTTCTCATTGGAATAAGGTTCCTGACCCTTGTTCTAGTTTACGACTCTGGCATTCCTTCACACTTGATCTAGCAAAGGAAGTATTAAAGTCAGACTTGCCGCCAATAAAAGCTAGAAAATAAAAGGAATAACATATTGAAAACATAAAACTTTATTAATTTAATATTTGGCATTCTGAATGTGATCTGTATACACATCTAACCTAATAATGACACACCCGAGTTTTTGATGTAATATTGTAGCGTACTCGCGTGCACGGTATATAACACAGGTCCGCATATGCTGCCTTGCGGTACCGAGAAGTCCAGACATCTAGGCTGTGATTTAGACGCGTTGATGCTTTCCTGAACGAAAGGTATGATTGAAACCAATGAAGAGCCACTTCAGATACTCCGAAAGTAGTTTCTAACACGTTGCTAAGTATGGCATGGTCGACTGTGTCGAATGCAGCAAAGAGATCCAATGCGACTAAGGCAGTAACTTCCTGTTTTTCCATTTTCCACCAGTGATCATTTAGACTTTATTTGATATTTTAACATATGCATTGTTTTTTTTATTATATGTATGTATTTTATTGTATGTACAGCGCCAATGATTGCATACTGTATGTAAATCGAGCGCTTTAACAAATTTTTTAATTTAATTTTTTAAATTTTAACAATTTTTTTTAATAATTAAATATCTCCAAATGTCAGGATGACTTCTGTCTAAGTTTGCAATTATTTTGAAAACAAACATAATTCATATATTTCTGTAATTTTTTAATGTTACTGGAATTTTCCAATCATATAAAAAAAATTTGTGTATGTGCACCAATATTGTTTACAAATTAAAATAGATAGATCATTTCTAAATGATCCGTGGTTATATTGATAGACAATTCGCATACATCTTTGCAAACCAATTAGTGTGTGGTGAGAAAGTACACTTATTCAACCACAGACAAATTATTCATATTTCCTTTTGCTTAAGAAAATAATAATAAAGAAAAACTTTTGAGTGCCTCTTTTGGTCAATGTTGGACGAAAAACATAAAGTGGAAGGATTAAGTTTCATAAAATTTTAACTAAAAATTTTATCTCTCCTTCATGTTTCATTTGGAAATCAAATTATATACAATATTGAAGAAAATATGGTCATTAATTTTCACCTGCGCATGCAATTATTCAGTATTTCTAAAAATAACTGATTTGTAATTAGCAGACTTCTTTCAAAATTAAAATAATTTCTGGCATTTTTAAATTGAGTTGCCGTGCCACATCAGTGATTTAGATCTGAACTCTTGGTTTAGATTTTTTAATGAAAATTGAAGCATATTTTTGCCAAGACTTTTTCGCGTATTTAATGGCGGAAACACGACTGGATGGTATGTTTATTGTCACAAAATAAAATAAATGGAGATAAATCCATCATTTTCTACTAAAAGACACATCATTTTATGTAAATGAGCTGTAGCACCACCCACTTAATTACTAGCACGACATGTGCAGTAAAGCGTGACCAACAACATTTTACATGAAAGGTAATTTGCCGTATTAGAGTGACACGCGCTGATTTTTCTGTGTATATCGTGCACTTACCTGCATAACCAACTACGAATCAGCTGACTGTCTGTTCTTTTACGAACAGTGGCCCAAGAAAACGGACTGTCAATCTTTCACGGTGGTGAAATAAGATGCCAGAAACAATCTCCACGGACATAGACACAGAGAAACCTAGAGCCAAAGTCCGATTTGCCAAAACAACAAAAGTTAATTTAACACGGACCCTACCGAGGCTGATTGAAAAGAATGGGACATGTAACATCGAATCAAGGACAATTCGAGGAAAGAACATTCGATTCATGAGCGACATTTTCACCACACTTCTAGAGACACAATGGAGATTGTTTTTGTCTCTGTTCGCGCTGTCTGTTGTTTTCAGCTGGGTTTTATTTGCTACAGTGTATTTTCTAATCGCTTATTCTAATGGTGACTTTGAAGAAAAAAGCTATGAGGAGGACAGGCTTTTTTGTGTAGAAAACACACCGGACTTTATTTCTATGATTTTGTTTTCCATGGAGACGCAGACGACAATCGGATACGGATCCCGTTACGTCACAGATCATTGTCCCGCGGCCGTGTTCATGGTCACAGTTCAGTCTATTCTCGGAGCTCTTTTACAAGCTCTCTTGACAGGTATCGTTATTGCCAAAGTTCAGAAACCAAAGAAGAGGGGAAATACAATTCTTTTCAGCAAAAGCGTGTGTATTTGTCAAGATGGAGAGGACAAGTATATGTACATACGTGTGGGTGACTTACAGAAGTCTGATATGATTGACATGCATGCACGTGCTGTGTGTGTGAAAGATAAAATTACTAGTGACGGAGAATACATTTCTCATTTTCGCCATGATCTGGATCTTTGTAATGAATTGAACTCCAGCAGAATTTCGTTGAGGTGGCCCGTTGTTCTACAACACAAGATTACGCCAGCCAGTCCTTTCTGGGCCTTGGACGAGGGTGAAATCAAATCTGCAGATTTTGAGCTTTTGGTATTTTTACAGGGAGTTATTGAAAGTACTGGTATGTCATTCCAGGCGCGGACATCATATCTGTCGCATGAAATTCTGTGGCAGCACAAATTCAAGCCGATGTCTACGGTTTGTACTACGTCTGGAGTATTCCAGTTCGATTACAAGCAGTTCAACGAGACAATCAACTTCCCCTCCACGACACCCAGCCCTGGCAAGAAGTTCTTCCGAGCCAAGTACGTTCGTTCCTCCTCTCCTGGGGACCATTCTTTAGGGGGAGAGTCGGGAATCGCAGATATGGATGACGCCCTGTCCACAAACTCTGATAGCAGCACAGATATTTCTAATGATAGTACGAAGTACGGGAAAGTGTCGCTCAATATGTATGACTGATAAATTGTACGTTTTATGAAGACGTTATATGTAGTTTTATGTATATCTGTTTCTTTCATGTCTGTACAAATTTGTTATAAATGTGAGGGTTTGGTCGTAGTAGTGCTGTGACTTTGCTATTAAATGGCGTTATACATATTATTTTTATATAAATTTACAAAGTTTTGATCTTATATAGTGAATTAAAATATTTCAAATCAAGATTTTTTTTGTAATCTACAATTCTAAAGTTGATAACTTTGCTGGATGGTTCCTCTGGATGTACATGTATAGAATATAATTTGTATTCCATCAAGGACCAACAGTCTAGGACATAGTTATAAATTATGTTCTTTATATTATGATAACAGTATAAATGCAATAGAAACATTGCAATCAACAATGTTATCACGATATATGCTGAATTATCTTTCATACAATGGACCAGGAAGAAGAAGACATAACTCAATAATGTTTAGAATGAATTTTAAGTCTTTCGGGGATAGGGTGTAGTACAGCATTACCTTAAGCAACACGGAATTTGTCGTCAGATTTAGTCATCAATGCTTGTTCTTTTGACATGTCAACACCTGGGTTTACCTGTCCATGTTATGTAATGCTGACACATTGATGTTTAACCGTCGCTAACTATCTGCTAATCAGGAAAGGTTTGGTGAGAAACTGTCATTCACCGAGTGGATTACTTACTACGTGGTCACATTGCCAGACATCTGACCAATAGGAACTAGGCTTCTTGTTGTGAAATGAAATTTGCTGAATGAAATACCAGAGCTGGAGTAAGAGAATTATGCACCAAAATTGCAATATTGCTTCATTTTGACGTCATTTGGAATGCTTAAACCGGTTATTACTGGTAGAGACATATTTCTGACAGACGGCTGTCCTGTTCCAGGCATATTCCTACACTCTAATGAATAATCAGCAGTAATGGTTAGTTCGTTTGGGACAGGAAATTTAGTGTTATTTTAGTATGACGTCATAGTATACACGTGGGGTGAGGTATGCTGTGCCCTTTTCATAATTCTCTTCAAACCTGGGATATGAGACGGAAAAAAGTTTGCTGCAACTTGATACATTCATGAGATTTTACACCTAGTATAAACATGATTCAGGCAAATGTCAAAAATATTCGATATCTACTTATCTAGCCTTAAGATTTTTTCCTTGGTATTACATGTATCAATATGGGAGATTTATACCAATTATGACATTTTTACTCTTTTTGAAAATTTTCTAAACACTTTGACTCATCAAAATTTCCCGTGCAACCCTTATTGTACATCAAAATAGTCATAAAATATCTAAATGCAGCTTGAAAAGCGGCCGGGGGGTGTATAGTGATGGGAATGTCCGTCTGTCTGTACGTCCGTCCATCTGTTACGCTTTGGGGTACCCATCTCTTACCCGCAACTCCTCTTATATCACTGAATGAAATTTAAGGAGACTTTCACAGAATCTTTGTTACACAGTCCCATTGTGAACCTCCTATTTTACTTTTTGATTGGACTGGTATTTCAGATTTCCGATAGCAAAACATAGACACTGCCATTCTTTCTATAATATTGAGGTGTACCCATCTCATATCCGAAACTCTGCCGAACAAAATTTAATGATACTTTCACAGAATCTTTATTACATAGTGCCATTGTGCACCTCCTATTTTACTTTTTGATCTGACACTTATTTCAGGTATCCCATATCAAAACATGGACTTTGCCATTTTAATCATATGGGAGACGAGGCGTATCATTTTTAAGCTCAGTGCTCACATTACCTCTAGTTTATGTAAGCACTGACTCTCATTTAATAGATTCAATGGTTTACACACTACTTTTGACTCCAGATTACCCTGTTTACCTAATCAATACGTATCAGTCGGGATTAAGGCGGGTGTGACTCGTCGACTGAAGGGGGGTGGGTTAACTTCTCCTAGCACCTGATCTCACCTCTGTTGGTTGCAGTGTTTTTGTCGAATGTGTTTCATATTGTTTGCAGGATTCATGAGATTGATCACAGTTGGTTATCTTTACATTTTTCATGCATAATTATATACTCACATTCAGTGAAAGAAGATGAGCGTGTTTGGCGTGTGATCTGCTGGTATAAGGCGTACGAAGCATTTATAGTTTAAATGTCTACAATTTGGTCGGTTGACCACAGCTGGACATACTTTATAAAGTTACGCACATGGAGAAATGTTACATTTAGGTTGAAATACTTCGTCAAATTTAATATATATATCAGTCCGCTCATCTTAATATTAAATTACTAAATGTAAGACCTAGTATCGCTTCACATAAATATAGTAAACACATATACATGTAGGATATAGTTAAATGCAATTACAAGTACATGTACATATCAGTAGGTTGGAAGAATTGCTTTCGCTTTCGGTGCAACAGAACCAGAATTTATCTATCTGTAAATAAATCAGTACATAAAATTAAACTGACAAAAGAATTGATTGTTTGTACTAAAAAAATATTATGCGAGGATCGAACCAAAAGTATTTCATTTTTATTGCAGTGGACGGGTAACGCATTTTTTTTTTCTCTTTACGCTTACTACTGAGCTATCACCGCTACACACCCTTTATGGTTTTTAAAGCAATAATGAAGCACCGCATTTACACATTGGATTTTTTTTTTTTTAGGAAAAGTTCATTTTTTTTATCGTCTCTAGGTCTTCTCTCCATTTTTAGGTCACCTGAGTCACTCAGGTGACCTATTGCTATCCGTTCTCGTCCGTCGGCGTGCGGTGTGCGTCGTGCGTCGTGTGTTAACATTTGAACATTTTTAGCTTCTTCTCTGAAACCGCTTAACCAATTTCAACCAAATTTTGCATATAGCATCTATGGGTAAAGGGGAACAATAAGAATTTGAATTTCATGGTCCCTGCCCCCCTGGGGCCTGAGGGGTGGGTCTAAAACCACCAAAAATAATGCAATCTTTAAAAATCTTCTTCTTTACTCCTGGACATCAAGCAGTCAAACTGTTGGCATGATTGTAAATTGTGAAATTCATGGCCCCAGGGTCAGGGGTTCTGGTGCTAGGATGGGGCTATATAGATCATATAGTGAAAAAGCATTAATTCTTTGAAAATCTTCTTCTCTGCTCCTGGGTATTAAATAAACTAATCAAGTACATAGTTATGAAGAGCAAGAGTGCCTCTTCCAAAATTATGAAATTCATGGCCCCAGGGTCAGGGGTTTTGGTGTTAGGGCGGATCTCTGTGGATTATATAGTGAATATGTATTAATTCTTTGAAAATCTTCTTCTCTGCTCCTGGGTATGAAATAAACTAACTAAGTACATAGTTATGAAGAGCAAGAGTGCCTCTTCCAAAATTGTGAAATTCATGGCCCGAGGGTCAGGGGTTCTGGTGTTAGGGCGGGGCTCTATTGATTATATGGTGAAGATGCATTAATTCTTTGAAAATCTTCTTCTCTGCTCCTGGGTATTAAATAAAGTAACAAAGTACATACTTAAGATGAGCAAGAGTGCCTCTTCCAAAATTGTGAATTTCATGGCCCCAAGGTCAGGGGTTCTGGTGTTAGGGCAGGGCTCTATTGATTATATAGTGAAAATGCATTAATTCTTGAAAATCATCTTCTCTGTTCCTGGGTATTAAATAAAGTAACTAAGTACATAGTTATGATGAGCAAGAGTGCCTCTTCCAAAATTGTGAATTTCATGGCCCCAGGGCCAGGGGTTCTGGTGTTAGGTCAGGGCTCTATTGATTATATGGTGAAGATGCATTAATTCTTTGAAAATCTTTTTCTCTGCTCCTGGGTATTAAATAAACTAAGTACATAGTTATGATGAGCATGGTTGCTTCCTCAGAAATTATTAATTTCATGGCCCCTGGGTCGGGGGTTCTGGTGTAGGGCGGGGCTCTATTGATTATATAGGGAAAAGGCATGAATTCTTTCAAAATCATCTTCTCTGCTCCTGGGTATTTTTCAAACAAAGGAAGTGCATGGTTATGATAAGGAAGAATGCCTCTTCCAAAATTGTGAAATTCATGGCCCCTGGGTCAGGGGTTCTGGTGAAGGGGGGGGGGGGGGGCTCTATTGATTATATAGTGAAAATGCATAATTTCTTTTTTCAAAATATTTTTTCTACTACTGGTTATAAAGTAAAGAAACAAGTGTATAGTTATGATGAGAAAGGGTGCTTCTTCCAGAATTGTGAGTTCGTGGCCAATGGGTCAGATGTTCTGGAGTAAGGATGGAGCTTTATTTATTTAATAATATGTTGAAAATGCATTTCTTTGAAAATCTTCTATGCTTCTGGGGATGTTCAAGGCAAACAGAGTAAAAGTTTTAATATGCAAGGGTATTTTTACCAGAATTTTGAACACCTGGACCATTTAGTCAAGTGTTCTGGTCTTGGCCAGGGCTCTATTAACTTGTATTCTGCTCAGCAAAGTTATTCCCCTTTGCCATTCACCTTTGATAATTAATCAATGTAAATAATGTATTTGAAAGCTTAATAGAATAAAAGAATTATGCAAGAAAATTTATTGTATTATTAAAAAAGTACTTTCATAGTTTTAATGACTTGGAAATAAAAGATGAATAAAAATGAGACAAAAATAATTTATCTTTTTAAATGTTCTTCAAAGGCCAAGAGAGGCCATTGTGAGAAGTAATAATATGGGGTTAAATAATAGACATTTTGTTAATAGTCTGCATGGGAATAGTGATAAATGGGGGGGGGGGGGCAGATAGATACTAGACCAATTATTTTGCTGATGCTAATCATACTATTTTTCTTGCCTTTGGGCAACAAAGCTTCATTTATCACTTTATGGATCCTCTAAATTGTTGTATTGTACTCAGGTGACCGTTAAGGCCCTTGGGCCTCTTGTTTACAAATGTTTATTAGCTTCTTTGAAATAAAATGCACACAAATTACGTTTCAAAATCACGGAGAGATGACCCAGAGATAGCAAATTTTTAGAAAAACGTGTTTAAAAATGTAACATTTTATACCAAATGACTCATCTAGCCAATTTTCAAGTTCTTTTTTAGCAAATCAAAATACAATATCTGGAAAATATTTCCCTTTCCTATTTCACAGGAACCCGATACATGAAAAGAATGCTAAAATTTCATGTGACAGATCAATGAAATTTTCACTTTTCAAGTGTGCCCAGATTCCTGATGAATGCCAATCAAAGGTGCCCTCGTTCTTTCTTT